ACACAGTTGTTCTTAGCAACATGAAGAACGGGTGCAGTACGTGGGAAAGGTCAGCTTTAAATTATACAAAATATATAACATAATAAATATTGTATGCTTTGTATTTCGGGGGAAACAAGAGGATTTTTTTTAGACATGTTGGCATAGTTGGACAAACCTACAGAGTCGAACACATATTTCCAGAAACTAGAAGAGCTTAGCTTTCAACTGAAATATATCACAAGCATGTGAGATGTAGAATATTATTTTACTGGCCAATGGCATTTTTTGGTACGCATACCTTTGTGCACAAGCTATAAAAATGTGGGTTTTAAGATGTCAGTAGATCAGAAACCCTGAGCTGGGAACATATTTAAGTTAAAGAAATGATGATGAACAAATGTTTTAACTGAGCAAATGTTACCACAATAAACCATCATGTTGTTTTGTGTGTTTTTTTGCAGTTCGAGTTAAATATTAAGGAGAACATCTTTGGTGTTGAGGTGATGAGGTTCAAAACACAGGACATGGACCTTAAGGGTACAGAAAACTGGGAAGCTGTTTTTGAAATTGTCAAAGGAGACGAGGGTGGATATTTCAGCTTTAAAACTGATCCCGAAACCAATGAGGGCATCTTATGGCTTGAGAAGGTAATGTTCCGTCATTTTCCCCTCACAGCTAACCTCCAAATGGTATATAATTCTGGCAAATGGATGTTAAGAAACAAAAAAATACAGGAATGCTACACTAAAGAATGGTAAGAGAATGGAAAAAAGTGGCAATTATGCCCTCCAGCAGCCTAGGCCTATATCAGCATTATCTAGAGAGAAATAGCAGGTTAAACCAGGCCACTCTATGTTTTATCAACAATGAAAGGTTTATGTCTGGTCTTATAGGTGGACCGGTTGTCCGCATCACTGACTGTTAATGAAGGTTTGTTACACAGGAGAGGAACCTGACTAAAAAAAAATCTACCTGTGCTCCTTTTTTTTTATTCTAGAAACCTGTAGTGAACCTGTAGTCTGAAAGGAAAGTGCTCTGCACTCTAAAAAGAAAATGCTGCTCCAACTTTAATTCTTTCAATTAGTTACAAGTAATTGAATCAAGTTGATTAAACTCAATTTATTATGTTTATGAGTTGAAACTTAATTAAATTAAGTCGGGCAATTCTTAGCTATTCTGATTAGCCGCTGTCAGTTGCATTTTTTGAAATAACTCTAAATATAATTTCTATTCTCCCATGAAGCTAATGTAGTAAGTAATGTGCTTCAGTGACGTGATTATCTCTGCATGCAGCTGAATCCTACGGAAGCGCATTGCATTCACCGAAGGAAAAATCTTATTTATATATTCCGTCAAGTTATTGTAGGGTGGGCTTTTTTGCCTAAGTACTTAAGCTATCTGCGCAACGCTAACAAACTCAAACTAATTCCATCCACATTGATGAAACTCAGTATTTCCCAGTGTCCCATTTCAAAAAGAAAATAAAAGCATATTGAATCCGACAACCCACCCATTGTTCACGTTTCATGTACATCTTATCAACATTACGGGATACTGATTTCATAATTATTTGGTGAATGCAATACGCTTCCGTAACCGCTTCCATTTTGGTAATACGCCGCATGCCAAAGCTTGTTTTTGAGCCTGTACTTTGTTTTCTGATGTCATTTCCAGCCTTTGGACTATGAATCCATTAAAAACTTGGACCTGGGACTAGAAGTACGCAACAAGGCTCCACTGTTTGATGGATCTGGCTCCAATGCTGAAGCTGGTATTAGCGCAGGGGCTGGTGGTGCTGCAGGAAATGGTGCAAGCGGAGCCAGTGGAGCCAGCTGGGCCAGTGGTGCCAGTGGAGCCAGTGGTGCCAGTGGAGCCAGTGGAGCCAGTGGTGCTAGTGGTGCCAGTGGAGCCAGTGGTGCAAGCGGTGCCAGCGGAGCCAGTGGAGCCAGTGGTGCAAGTGGTGCCAGTGGTGCAAGTGGTGCCAGTGGTGCAAGTGGAGCCAGCGGAGCCAGTGGAGCCAGTGGGGCCAGTGGTGCCAGTGGTGATGGCAGTACCACTGGATCTGGAGGATCCAGTGGAACAACATTTAAAGGCTATTCAATCAAAATCAATGTGATGGACGAGCCAGAAGGACCTCATTTTGATTCAGCTGCTAAAGCTATTCCACTCACACGGGCCCACTACTTGGACGGTTCTAATATCATTGGCCATTATCCTGCAATAGATGAAGTCACAGGAGAGCCAGTGAAAAATGTCACGTCAGTATAAACGCAAACCTAAACCTTGTAAAAATGAAAATACTTCTCCTGTCATGAGTCATCTAAATATATTTTTCTACGATGCGTAGATATCTAAAAGGCTCTGACCCTCGCGGATGGTTTAGTATTGACCCCAAAACAGCTGAGATCAAACTGATCAAGAATCCTTACAGGGAGTATTCTTCACTGGTCAATGGGACATATTTTGCTGAAATACTCTCCATCACAGAAGGTAAAGTTTTATTATTTGTGGTTATTGTATTGTTATTATGAATATATTAAATAATTAGAACTGCAAGTTAAAGTTTATCAATAGGTCATTCAAATTGACGGGAAAAATAATTAATGATTATTAGTTGATTGATTACAACTGTAATTTGTTTACTCAACATTGTTCTTAGCCTTTTACTTAAAAGGTTGGACTCCCTGACCAGCTGTTAACATCCAGTTGCCCTTACCAATTTAGTAATTCAGACTATGGCTATCACCAAATCACCAAACTATGGATGCTAGAGGGTCTACTTAAACAAATGGCTTTCAAGAATCTGGCAGTTAGTCACTGGGATTGCCAGAAATATACAGTGCTCCTCTCAAGTGCAGAAACTCCTTGTACGTGGGGCTGTTTGAAGGATAAAAGACCAAGCCACCATATTAAAAATAACATTCTGTTTTTGCTTTTCCAACACAGATATGCCCGCTAAAACATCTACTGGTACCATAGCCATCCAGGTGGACAGCGGCGACTGCCCCACCCTGCCAAGGAAATCCCTGTCTATGTGCACATCAAAGAACTTTGTCATTGTTAATGCTGATGTTGAAAATGCATTATATAGTAGCCCACCTTTTGATTTTACCATCGACCCAAGTGAGACAAAAGGAAGTTGGCAAGTGGAATGGTACAATGGTAAGACAATACATTGAAATATATCTTCTGTGAGGAAAAAGTGGAAATGTGTCCAAGACTGCTGAAAATATTTGAAATCAGACAAGATAATCTTCTAAGGAAGGTTTATGGAAATTACAGAGAGCTGACAGGCTGTGGTTTCATTCTAGGGCTTTTAAACAGGCTTAGGGCTCATAGAACAGCTAATATGCCATTTTCAGCCCAACCAATGTTACACACCCTATTAGAGACCTG